TTATTCCACTGAGCCATCTCCCCAGCCCCTAATAATGTTTTAATAAGGGTCCAATTCACAATGGGTCCAGTAGGTCCCCATACTCATCCTGTCTTCATTTCCTTCATAACTGGGATAGACATGCATAGTCCTTGGCAGGATCCTCACATTAGTTCTTTAACCTACAGTGTGAGCACAATTATGGTTAGAAAGGTCAAAAGGAAGTTACCTGTGTTGTCTTTACTTTGTAAAATAGTAAACCCAAAACAATATCACATCCCTGGAGGATTACAGAGATCAGCGCCTCTATCAAGCACTTGAAGGATGGAGGGATTGTGGTTCCCAAAACATCTCCATTTAGTTCTCTCATTTGGTATTGCAGAGGAGGGGTAGGTCTTATAGATGATGGGAAATTCTTGTGTACTGAATCAAGTGGCAATTCTGATTACAGTTGTAATACCAGACGTGGTTTCCTTGCTTAAGCAGATTAACATGTCTCCTGGTACTTGATATACATTTACTGATTTCAAAAATGCCATCTTTTTCATACTTAACCATAAGATCCACCAAAAACAATTCACCTTCAGTTAGCAAGGGCAGCAATATACTTTCATTGTCCTACCTCAGGGTTATATTAACTCTCTGGTCCCATGGCAGCAGAGTGGAAAAAATAATGAGGCTGGCTGATTGATTTTACTACTTCTGGACAAACTAGTGAAGGAAAATAATGATGTAGGAGTGAGACCACCCGGGGCCCTATGATCCTCATTCCAGTCAGCTCCAGGCCCAGTGTGTAAGCGGGACTACCCGGGGACCGCTGGATCTCACTCCAGCCAGTGTGCCCAGGCCTGGAGCGTGTGGATAACTTCCTCTGTCAGACAGAACAGGTGTGGAACCCTGCAGCAGAACTCCTTGCAGAGAGGCTAGAGGCAAGACCCACCCAACTAATCCAGGACCACAACATCTTGCCAGAGTGGCACAGAGGGTTCACCTCAAAGGGCTGCAGCAGGAAGAAGTGGAGCACAGCAGCCAGACCCAAGCCACACCACCTGGATGAGTCTGAACTTGGTACATCTGGACCTGGTGCAAAGGTAATAACTCTACCAAAGCTCTACACTACAGGTCAGAAGACAGTGCTATGCAAAATGACAAATAGGAGGATCAAAATGCATTCTCTGGTCCTGAGCCCACCCAGAACAAATGTAGGAGACAATAGCATAGAAGAAATTGGAAATCACACACCTGAAATCTCTGAAATAATAGTCTGAAGTAAAGAAACAACTGAAGAAAGGTATAGAGGAAATCAGATAAGAAATAATCTCTGAAGTAAAAAAGAATTGATAAGTATAATGAAAGAAGTACTAAGTGGTTCTAAAGAAGACACAAATTTAAAAAAAAAAGAGGAGAATACAAAAATGATGGAGTGCAAGCCTGATAGCTCAGTGGATTAAAGTGCCTGCTTAGGCAAAGCACAGCACCAGGGTTTGATCCTTGACGTGCCATGACAGCCCTGCCCATGGAGCACACTGAGGTGGCGATAGAGACTGGGCATGGTGGCACGTGCCTGGAATGCCAGCACTTGGGAGGCTGAAAACAGGAGGATTACTACAAGTCTGATCTATGCAGTAAGACCCTGTAGACCCTGTTTTAAATACAGAAAAAATAAATAAATACAAATGATGGAATTCTTGAATGAACAATATAGGAAAGAAATAGAATGTATGACGCAGATTCAAAGTGCTATACAGGAAATTAAAACTTCAATCACAAGGTGGCAAAACTGTTTCAATGAAAGATAGACTTTCAGACCTTAAAAATACCATTGCAGTTAATGAAAAGGTAAGAAAAGATCTAAAAACACCTGATTGAAATTATACTACAAGGCTACTGTGATAAAATCAGCACGGTACTGGCAACAAAATAGACCTGAGAATCAATGGAATAGATTAGAAGACGCTGAAGCCCCTACGAACACACTCAGCCACCTTATCTTTGACAAAGGGGCTAAACATACTTACTGGAAGAAAGATGGCCTCTTTAACAAGTGGTGCTGGAAAAACTGGCTCTCTACATGCTGAAAACTAAAACATGACCCAAGTTTATCAGCATGCACTAAGCTAAAGTCAAAATAGATTAAAGATCTAAACATTAAAACAGAGACACTAAATCTCTTGGAAGAGAAAGTAGGAGGAACTCTTGAAGACATAGGGGTAGGCAAAGAGTTCATGAACAGAAATCAAATTGCAAGGGAAACACTTGAAAGAATTAGCAACTGGGACCTGCTCTTACTGAGAAGTTTTTGCACGTCAAAGGAAATTACCAACAAAGGGAAAAGGCAACCCACAAATTTGGAAAAAATCATGACAAATAAGTACTCAGACAAAGGCCTGCTCTCTAGAATTTATAAAAAACTAAAAAACACTAGGGCCCCAAAATTTAAAGATCCAGTCCAGAAATGGCCATCTGAGATGAACCACACTTTTCAGAGGAAGAAATTAAAGAAGCAAATAAATATATGAAAAAATGCTCCACATCACTATCCATCTGCGAAATGCAAATTAAAACAGCATTGAGATATCATCTCACCCCAGAGAGAATGGCTATCATAATGAAATCACCCAACAACAAATGTTGGAGAGGCTGTGAGGAAAAAGAAACCCTTCTCCGCTGCTGGTGTGAATGTAGACTGGTGCAACTGTTATGGAAATCAGTGTAGAGACTCCTTAGAAAAGTTGGACTGGAAATCCCATTTAAACCAGCTATTCCTCTACTGGGAATTTTCCCGGAGGATCTGAAAACATCATATCATAGGGATATATATGTGCCTATGTTTATAGCAGTACAATTTCTGATAGCTAAATCTGAGAAACAACCAAGATGCCCAGCACCTGAGGAATGGATGAAAAAGATGTGGTATTTTTATACAATGAAGTATTACTCAGCTATAAAGAATGATACACTCAAAGCCTTTATATTGAGGTGGATGCAACTTGAAGATATAAGTGAAATAAACCAGACACACATGTGTAAATATCATATAGTTTCCCTAGTATAAGAACTCAAAAGAAGAAATACAAATAGAAAG